CATGAGAATGACCAAACTTTTGATACAGCATCTACAATACAGATTTCATTCCAAAAATGGTAGCCATTCTTCTCCTCCTCCTCCTTCTCTTCCTCTTTCTTCTTCTTATCATCATTATTATTCACTTAAATTACCATGTGTCCTCACCTAATATGTCCAGGTATTCTCTTGTTATTTCTTTCTTCTTAGAATAAGATGGTGGTAATAGCTAAGCCCTGAGCTAAAAGCTTTGATCCCTCTTTAGGAGAAACAATAGACTAGGAGTCAGGAAACCGGGCTTAGATTCTGATCATAATTCATGGTGTGACTTCCCTTGGCCAACTTGCTTGTCCATTAAATGGGAATAACAACCTTCCCATTTTCCCGGACCATTGTGAGGATAAAGCGAATACACAGTTCTGAAGTGTTTGCAATTTGAAAGTGAAATATTAAAGTGAAAGATTCCTATTGTTTGTTTCTATATAAACTTTTATCTCCTTTGAATTCACCTAACTTCAGTTTGCCCAGCCAAGATATTGCCTCCAGATCCTGGCTTTGATGTTTGCTTATGTATTTATATATTTATCTACTTTTTTTGCTTCTCACTTTTTCTTCTTCCAGACAATCCATGACTTAGGTTTCTTGCTGCTTCCAATTACCTAGAAAATCATCTTTCTGCTTTTCATCTAGTAGGATGGCTGGAGCATTGATCTGTCAGCTAGATTAGTGAGGTGCCCTCAAGAGGTAAACCTGAAAGCTCTCTTCCATTCCCAGTTTACACACAGCTCACTCCCTAACTGCACTGTGACACTGTGCACAGACATCGTGGATGGGAAGGGCTCTAAGGCTCCCTGGTCAGTTAGTCAGGAACCCGTAAACCAGGAACCCTTGAAGAGTATTCTGTGCATCCTCAGAGGACCAACTTCACAGAACTTGAATGCTCTGGCTCCAGACTATCTCCATGGCTCCAGGCCTGAGTCCTGTATTGTAAACATTTCTTGATGACCATTTGGCCACCACTCCCCACTGAGAGCCAGAGCTCTGCCCAAATGAAGCACTCAGCCCTCTTCTTCATCCACATGGAATATGGATGGCAGAAGATGGTAAGGGTGGGAGCGTAGGAAGATTAAGAGGAAGGAGAAAAGGGGAGGTGAGGTTGGAAAAGTTACTGGTATTCTACTTTTATACCAGACCCAAGGTAGTCATTCCCCAGAATGAACAAACAACCCTGTGCTAAGAGTTTACTTAAATTCTCATCACTTATTCTCCTATTCTCACTTGTTCCCCTACTCAAGAGGTTGTTGACTATGGTATGGGTTGGCAAAGTAGGAAGTTGAGGGGTATCTCCTCTACTCCACCCAACCTCAAAATGAAAAACAGATGAGAGAAGGTACTGCCTTAGCCCATTACACAGAAGCTGCTACCAAAAAACATATCCCTCTCTCCCCTCCAAACTAAACAGTAGTTTGTCAAACAGATAAATAAAAAGAAAAGTAACAATTTTGCTTTATGCTAATAAATTCCTTTGGCCTAAAAAACATTAATCAATTTCTTTCCAAAGCACACAGGCTTCTCTATATCTGCTATTTGCCTAGCCTTGAAAAGGAAGTCACTTTCAATCCTCTTTAAATTGTCAGGACCAGTGGGGGCAGTTTCAAGAGGGGGGGTGCGGAGCTCCCCAAACCTCCATGATTATAATGGAGCCCTGTGGTGTTTCCATAGAAACATAAAGAGTGTATTCTTCCCTGAATATATATGGTGGGGGGGGGAGGTGAAGACTGATGCTGCTGGCAATGTGTACAATTACTGAAGAGCTGAAGAAGGTCTGAGTGAGGAGGAAGGCATTCACTCCCTAAGACAGGAAGACAAAGGAGTGAAGGGTGGAGTGGGCAGAGACCGTACCCCTCATGAGGGCATGTCATCTGTTACTGTGCCCCATCTGCACAACTACCCAGTGAGGTAGCTTCATAGACCCCACTTTCAAATGAGTCTCAGAAAAGAAGCCCGAGGCCACCAGCCAGTATGCAGTGCAGCCTTAGTTCAAATGCAGGAGTGTCCCTTTGAACCCTTGCTCTGTCCTCTATACTGGGCTGCACTTTAAACTGCGATGATGAGAGAGTTCACATTCTATCTCCTGGCTCTTCTCTCCCCAGGCCTGCCAGTTCCATGCACATTCTGGAATCACCCAGATCATTAGTTTCTCCTAAGTGGTGTTAGGACAGTATCTGTGAGTCTTGACAAATTCAGGTGGTGGTGTTAGTGTCATTTTTTTTATTTGAATTATGAAGTCAGAGAAATAGTACATATAAGTAGAAGGCTCATATATGTGTGTATTCTTATAATTTGATAGAGTTATGTGGATGAAGAGCTGGACAGTAGAGGTAGTTGAAATAAATATAAAGCATATTGCTAAAGCACTTATTAGTTTAATCATCAGTCTCACTCACATGCTGGGAAGGTCCACAGGAGCAGTATCTACATCTGTCTGTCTTATAGACAGATCCCTGCAACTGAGTGCAGTGGCCCTCAACTGAGTGCAGGGTCAGTGCATGGACATATGGATGGATGGATGGATGGATGGGTGGGTGGGTAGATGGGTGGGTAGGTGGGTGGGTGGATGGATGGATGAAATGTCCTATACCAGACAGCACACGGAATTCCTAGAATGAGGAGGTATCCCTTTTCTTTGGCTCCATCTGGTGCTCTTAGATGAAGGTGACTTTTCTGCCTCAGGATGGGGAGGGCAGGGCTATTTCTAGAGCTAAAACTGTGAATGTGGCTGTTCCCTGTCTGTGAACTAGTGCTAGAGGGGGTGAAAGTGCTGTGGAGTACATCCTGGAAGCAGGAGACTCAGTGTGTCAGTCTGTGGAAGCCTTTGCCCACTGACTTGGCAAATCCTGAGTTTTGGCAAGATCTCTAATAGCTCTTGATATTGGCTCGTGTTTGCTGAGGACACAGAGCCAATGACCAGTGCCAGGAGGTCAGGGGTAATGTTTGTCTGTCTGTTTGTCTACCACTCCTCCCCTAATACCTGGTACTGAGCCTGGCATATGGGAGATAGTCAATAAATGTTTGTTGAATGACTGGATGAATACTTGGTGCTTACCTCTGAGCTGTGTGTTGTACCTGTGTTGCGTTATTTAAACTCCACTGAGATCCTATGAGTAGGTACCATGCTCATTTTGCAGATGACACTGTGGCTTGAAAATGAGAAATGACTTCCCCAAGATCTCACAGTTAATCAGTTGTGGAGCTTGCTTTGAGAAACAGCCTGTGTTTCATCCATTATATGGGTCACCCAGCCAGAAGTATGTCTCTAGAGAGGGAACCAGGGAGGAACAGAAAGTGAAAGGATGTAATCCAAGGAGAAAATGTGGGTGAATCTTATAAAAAATACAGAAACAAAACAGACACCCCTTCCCAATGTTCTGTAAGCCCTTGGCACCCCATTGGTCTGGCTGTAAAAGAGGCCACCCGGCTCCCCTGACTCTTTAGCTTCTTCTATCTCTCAATGCTCAGTGACGAGGCACCATCTGGGGGCTTCACCGGTCATGTGTGGCAATTATGATTTTCCCTTTCAGCAATACTTACCTAATCCTAGGTCTCTAGGAGATGACATGGGATGGTAGACAAGGACAAGTATCTCTTTAATGACAGCTCCTTTCTAGCCCTTGCTAGGTAGAAAGGCTTTGGCTAGTCATGTCACATCACAGACCAATGTGAGGTCTTTCATGTTCCATATGAAACATTTCATTTGCCTCCTTGCTAAACAAGGAGAATGCACTGTTTTCATGATTTTGTATTTACTCCACTTTCCACACTCCCACCCTGGCTTCTTATCTTTGGGCCTCCTGAGAGCTCTAGTATGAAACTAGGCAACAAATGCAGTAACAGCTTAAGAGCTTTCTTACAAGCATCCCAGCGCTGGAAGGAAACTCTTCCATAAGGAAATCTATGGAGGGAAGTGGAGGATGATTAAGGGCAAAGGGGGCCCAGGCACAGCCTGCAGGGATATTTGTAGAATTCATTCTTTCTGGCCCAACTCTCCAGGTTCTGAGAAGGAGGAGCCAGACTTTTGAATCAAGCTGAGAGTCCCTAATGTTTGCTAGCCCTGAGAGGTGTGGGGGAGCCTGAATACCCCGGCGAGCAGGCCAGGGCCTCTGCATCCGCCAGCCTCTGACTCTGTCAGTCTTGGGCAACCCTGGCCCCGATGCACCGTATTTACCTCAAGAACCTGCATACAGATGATGGAATGGACTCTGTACATTAATAACACACAAGTAAAACAGAAAAGAAATGGAGATCAGGAACTACCAACCCAAAAAGAATGTTTAAATATGTCTGTGCTGAGGAATATATTGTGAGGTAAGCTCTCCAAAACACATTGTTCAGAAGCAAGACAAAGAGCAAGACATACTGTAGTATTAGTAGTGATATTAATGGTGATAATAACAACAGTAATAGAAGCTAACACATATGGAACGCTTACTACATGCCAGGCACTGCTCTAAGCACTCCATTTATATTCTCTCACTTAATTAATATACATATTAATTCCAAAGAATACCTTTGAGACAGGTGCTATTATTATGTCCATTTTATAGCTGAGGAAACTGAGTCTCAGTTTTATTGTATATTCCTCTGTATTAATAACTCTTTTGTAATGAGGCAGTTTTTGTGTATAACATGTAAAAAGAATTAACAATTAGAATCATTAAATAAATGCAAGAAAGAGATTGGAGCAATATTTACTGAACACCTACTATCAGGCTACCATGTTGCAAGTCTTAAACTTAATATCCCCAAGAGGAAGGTATTACCCATGCCAATTCAATCAATGAGGAATTGAAGGTTCAGAGAGGTAAGATAATTTTTCCAAGGTCACACAGCCAATGGGTACCTAAGCATCTGGGATTTGATCTCAAAGCCCATGCTTTTCCATGTGAGTTGATGTTTGGTGTGCCAGATCAGGATGCACTAATTTGAATTTACCTTCCTTCTTACCTCTCTGTGTTTTTCAGTGTAGAATATGATTTTCGGCAGCAGGAAGGCAGGTTCCATGAAGTTCTGCAGAGTCTGGAGGAAGTGGAACCAGCTGAGGGGGCATCTCCCCCACCAAAGTCCACAGCAGAACCAGTTGCTGAGAAACAGGACTTAAGGCGGAAAACCAAGAAGGTGAAGAAGAAATGTTTTTGGTGGATCTGAGCTTGTTGGGACCATTCTCTGCTCCCCAAATACCTACCGAGGAGTGAGGTAGGGAAACCACTGCCCTCAGGCCTTTTCTACTTCTGAGCAAAGGCCTCAGGCTGTGAGCCACTTAACCTGAGAAACAGGAAAGACTTGGGCTGGTTCGCTGCTGCTGGACACCTGACCACCAACCTCACCTAAGAGAGGGCCACTGTTGCTGAGGACTTCACAGACCTTTGTGTGACCACTTGCCTAGTTCCCTGTCACACGTCCTGTTCCTAGGCCAACGTCCTGGTTTGTAAGTCTAGATTCCAACCATGAGCAAAGCCCCCATTGCATTTTCCAACACCTCCATGATGCTGAGCACTTCCTCCCCATCCTGGGCTTGTCACTCCAAAAGAGAGAGAAAAAAAATGTTGTGCAGAGCGGGAAGATGGAGGAGAGTTATAAACAGATACTCCCCACACCCCAAAAATAGATGTATAATCTGGCAGTCTTCTAAGATTTTGGCATATATAAGCACAACAGAAGAGGGAAGGGCATAAAAATGCAAGACCTCCTGGTGGGTTGGGTCATTTTCATTTTTAATTAGCCCCCTGATCCCCAAACAAGGGTTTGTCGTCTCCTGCTGTGTGGGCCTTGCTGGCTGTGGCAGAGTGAGGTCACTGCAGGATACAAAGAGCTTGGTATGGCTCTCCTGCAGATACAGCTGCTCCAGGGCCCACCTGACACCGTCATGCTTCTCATCCTGGGGCCTGAGATCACTTAGCAAATGGGTGGGGCTTGAATTTTAAGATTCCACCACTAATTTCCCTGCAACATTTGAGATCATAAGATCCAGTAGCCTATTTCATCTCACCAATAACATAAATTAAGGCCAAGAAAAAAATGCAACATTGGTTCTTGTGCATTCATCCCTGCATCAGCCTTGTAGATACGTTCAGAAGTATAGCAATCTACACCCTCTCCCTTCACAGTGACCAGGCAGTGGTCACCTGATTGAAGAAGCCGCAGGATGGGGATGAGGATATATTTTTTTCCCATTTTAGTATGAAAGATGTTTCCTTCCCAAAGTCTGAATTCTTTTAAAGTCTGGCTCATTCTTTTGATAAGACCCCCATACATATGGGTCCATTTAAACTTGCATGGCTAAAAAAGCTACTAAAGTAACCTAATTAAGTAATTGCTACATACTCTTGGAGATGAGGGGTAAGTTGGCAAGACCCATAGTCTCTCTTATTAAATTCTCTACCAGCCTGTGGTTAGATTGATGCTGCTTAGAAAAGGGATCCTAAAGCTCTACATGCATTCTGTGAAAAAGGCAATTTCATGACCCTCTTTGCTAGAGATGAGGCATCTGAGTCAGAGTCCTTGCAGAGTGCAGCATCCTGGCTGAACGTGGGATGCACGCACCCCACTGCAAATTGAGACTAATTGAGCAAACCACTCCGACAGTCTCACCTTCCCCTGTCACAGTGCTGCAGTGCACAGAGCTATTTCAGTGAGAGTGAGATGGAAATTTGGCAAGGAATCTCAGCTTGCACTATTTAAGTCTTGGAATGTCATTCAAAATGTTCTTTGTTCTTTTTCTAGTGTAATGTTTAAAACCACAAAATGAGACCAGAATATATAACGCTAAGTTGGAATTAAGATAAATACACTTGTCATACTTAAGAAGCTGCATTTCAGTAAGATACGTTACCACTGGCTAAAAGCCACAGATCTTTCTGTATCCACACAATCAACTCTCAGTTGGCCCCAACAATGAAAAAGAACAGCACAGAGGATAATCCAATAAAGCAAAATCATTTGGGATTTCTTATAAAATTTTATCTTGTAATAGAGCTTCCATCTTAATTTCTTTGCTTACGCTAATTTTCAAATTAATTTACATTCTCGGGCAGCAAGATAGAATGAAATAATCCTGTTCCCTGAATTAAGAGACCTGGGCAACAGAACGGTTTATTTCACTAACCTTTGGCAAACTGCTTAAGTTTTCAGGGCCTGTTTGTCCATTCTCAAATGGAGATAAAAATACCTACTCTACCCACTTTATAAGCTCTGTGCATGTTCCAACATCAAACGAGCAGAATGACCCAGAGCGGAGCTGGATCGTTTGCCAGTTAGTCTGGAATGATGGAGGAGAGGTGGAGGTAACTCACACGAGCAGGATAATACAACTCTTGGATAATTAAGCTCACATTTTCATATGCTTATGTAGAGTTGGGGGCCTCAGATAAATCCCCAACTAAATTAAGTGAAATCAGGGTTGGAAAATGTTGACATTTCTAGAAACAAAACCAAATGAGACTACAATGATTCTATACCAAAGCACAACACAGCACCTGAAACTGGGAAGGAGGTCTCTTCTAAAAATTGAACATTTAAAATTGTTATGAGGTAAATGGATTCAGCAAATACCACCCTAAACAAAAATGATCATTTCTGTGTTTAAAAGCAACACACATACACATGTACCAAACCTCTAAACTTATCTACTCATGTGAAAATTACTGCTTTGTAAAATATTATGTAACATCTACCATGATATTCTACAGAAATGCTGTACTTGAGGTGATATGGTTTTATGGAGAGATATTAATTTAGCAAAAATTACTTTTGTAAAAGTGAAGGGTAAAAGACCAATACATCAACTTAAGTTGCAGGAGTTTATGTAGCTGCTTTCTCTGTAGTTAAAAAAAAAATGTGTACTCAAATACTTGGAAATTAATACCAGCTCACCTATAGAGCACCTTCTTAAAGACTACGTACTAATGTAAGGTTTTGTAAATTTCTAAACTGTTTTAAATGGAATATTATCTTTTGCAATAAACTTACATATTTTTCTTAGGTTTTAAGACTCCATTACTAGCTTGAGTTGATTTGGATTATAAAAACTCAACTTAAGAAAGATGCCTCAGTGGTTTTAATGACAGGGATAGTGTCCATTATAATTGCTTCTATATGTTTTCCAGGGAAACAAAGATCAGATTCAGAACTTCATACTGCAGTGATCACATGAAACCCCACTTGCAATGGGAGCAAGGGAAGTAGAGTAAAGCAATGGAATAGTTCCCAGCTTAAATCAGATAGACACACATTCATGAGTTTTTCATTATTATGCCCATACAGCTGAACTATAATTTATTCAATATTTTTTATTTTTCCCATAATTTTCTTCCTTGAATGGCAACTTTTTACCATCACCATGGGGAAAACACATATGATGTTCCAAAAATAGAAGATGAAATAAAATAATTTTATTAAATTCTTCCTAGAGACTGTTGAACATTGAATGTGCTAAGCTTGAGAGCAGTTCTCCTTGTTAAAAGGGGAGATTAGCAAATATTCAACATGTGCTAAAGCCACTTTAACACCAAATACATTTTCTACTTGACTAATCAGGATGTTTGGGAGAGACTTGAAAAGAAAACAGCTTTCCCAAGTGATTCCTTTATTTCCCTGCATTGAACATGAGCCATCTAAAACCAGCTTGTTTACTAATTTAGGGAGGAAAAAATAAAACACCTGATCATAGAATCAGAAGTCTTGGGTTTGATATTATTCTGCTACCTTCTTCTTGCTGGGTGGGTAACCTTGGCAAAGTTAACCACTGTGAGCTTCTGAGTTCTTTTCCTAGAATGCTGAATATAACCCTTGCCCTATAAGAGTGTCTAACAATTAAACAGGGTAAAGCTCTGAGCACAATGTGGGGCAAACAACAGGTGCTCAACAAATGAATATTTATTTATTTGTTGATTGAAGTAAACTGGGAGAAGATAGAAGATGCCCATGGGGCTGCAATGGGTTTTCAGAAACTGGCTTAATAATTTTCTCAGGGCAAAAAGTGGTCCTGACGTGGAATGAACTCTTCCTGGCTCATTAAAACCAAAAACCATGACAGGTAACATTAAATAACGAAAGTCTTCATTGCCCAGAAGAATATGAAGACATATTGTTCTGGGAAATGAAGGATTCTCTTATGGAATCAAATATCCTAGAAGTGAAAGACAATGTAAAGGCTGGGTCCCTGCCACTTTAAGCATCAGGCAATTAAATAAGACTAGGTGATTTGTCCAACAGTTACAGCTATCACATGGGAAGTCAGTGTTGAGATCAATGTGATTGGTGGGTGGAATGTATTATAGTCTACCAGACACCATGGCCCAGGGCAGCCCTAGGAGCCACTATCTAATAGACTTGAGACCCATTCTGACCTACAGTAGTTTCCTCATTAGCTGAACAGAAGCCTCAATATAGCCTTTGCTTGAAAAGCCTCTCATTTTAAGCTGCTCAAAGCAACTTGCAATATGCTAAAAACATATTTCTATATTTAAGTCCCAAGAAATGTAGATATTTTTTAGTCATTATGCACATTAAGTATGGGTTGCAATTAAGAGCTGAGGGAGAAATCCACACCCAACACTGTTCACACTTGGTGCAAACCATGCTTGCCCAGCTTAACGCTCATAACTCCTTTTGAGTGTTTCCATCCCAACTTCCTCCCTGTCTTCTTCCAACTGATTTTCAGACTTAATTCCTATTGATTATATCTATCACCCTACTCCTAAGGTTTCCCAAATATATGATTTCTTCCTGCCCCCTGCAAGACCCTCAGCCCATGAAGGGTAAACTTAGAACTTGTTTTTCTGAGGACCAGACTAAGCCAGGTTCTNCACCAAGCTCGGCCTGGCCTGACCTAACAGGGAGAAATCCCATACGGGTGCTGGAGAAGAGGAGAAGTTATATGTTGCTGTCATTGTTTTTTGTCTTCCTATTTGTTTCAAGATAAAAAACATTATGCCTTCTGCAATTAGGGAATGAAGGCGAGCAAAATCAAAGCCATGCAAAGCATCAGCCTTCACCAATTCAGAACACTGACCTGATTGGATTTCCTGGATTGGCTCCGTCCCTCCTCTCTACTGCTACACATTCACCAGCTCCAGGGAAACTTCTCTGATGAACCTTAGCCCATGATCACCTTTGTTTCCAATAAACAGTTATTGATTCCCTTCTCTGTACCAAGTAAGAAAACTATAGATAGAGCCCTTCTTCACAGAGCATTTAATGGTCAAGTAGATGGGGGTGGGGTGTCTGACTACAAGCACCTGTCCTTTTCTGATTAGACCACCTGCATGTCATGCCCCCTCATTTTGACCCTCTTAATCCTGTCCTTGTTATTCTCTTGTGATGATTGTCTTAAATTAAAACAATTTCTATTTACGCCCCCTTTTTCCACTGTACATTGGGTGTCTGAGAGTAGGGACTACTTTCCTCAACTGTAAATTCTTAAGTCTGGGAATTTTTTGTTTAATTGAAATGAAAGACTTCAACGCTGTGGATAAAGTTTCCTAAGACCAGGATTGTCACCTGGCCCTGGTCGGCTTGCTCACTCCACATGTGTGGGCAATACGTTGCTATTGACTCTATATAATGAGCTCCGCCCAGTGCTCTGGGTGACATGGTGGCACAGCTGAAGGGCTGCAGGAGAGCAGAGACTAGGGTGGTAGCAGCACCGAGGACAGAGACTGAGACGGCTGCAGCCCAGAGGCAGAGACCAGCTTGCTGCATGTAGACTTGCTCTAAGTGGACAGGATTCTAGTGATTGACCTGAGAGCATGGAAATAAAGTTGAGTATAAACCTTTCCCCAAGAATATTCCATTGTCATTTTTTGGTCTCATTGAATTCATAGTGAACTTGCCTGGGGCGGAAAGCCATTGGCAAAACAATTCTCTAAGCTGGCCTCCATAGAAGTCTCCCCACATGTGCTCCCTTTCCCTCCCAGCACATTCTCCACATAGCAGGGAAAGTAATCACTGCAAATTTTAAATCTGAACCATGCTGCACTCTGGCTGTCACAATCTGGTTTCCTAATAAACTTAGGAGGTAAGACCAGGTCTGTGACCATGACCCTGGTGGGCCCACATGCCTCTCCTGTGGAAGCTCCCATCACTGCCTGCTCTCAGTCACACTGAGTCACTGTAGGTTCCTTGGACCCACTATCCTAACACTCCCTAAAGGGTCTGTGTATCCTCTTCCCCCTGCCTGCAACAGTCCCCTCCACAGCACCCTCCCTGCCCAGTTTTCAGCTCTTTTGGGGTTTCCCAGGAAAGGCTTTCATTGACTACCACCACCACTAACCCAGATCACACCAAACACCCCTCTTATGCAGTCACCTGGCCCCAGGAAAACCTCCATCAGAGTCTTTGGCACAGTTGACCTTGTACATATATTTGTGTCACTCTTTGATGAATTCATTTCTTCTCATTAGCCCATAACCTTTCCAAGGTAGGAATCCTGCCTATTTTTGTTCACCTTTATTTCTCCAGCATTTAACACAATGAGATTCAACTATCTGTTGCAGGAATAAATTGATAAATGAATTTGATCCAGTGGAGAGACATGAAGAAATGATTTCCAGTTCTTCTCCTGTCTGTCAGTCAACACATGGGGATGGTCCCATTGGTTTGCACAGGCTCCAGCTGTGCTCCCAGGAGCATCCAGCCTTCCACTGTTAGAACCTCCAGCAGGAACGTGCCCAGGGCTTCTAATCCATTGTGATCCACATGGCATTCAGGATCCAGGAACATCAAGCCACTACCACCCTCCCCCACTGCCAACCTGCCTAACTCCTCTATCCTGAATATTGATTGACAGCCCAGCTCAACCTTGTTTCAGAAAAAATTGGCACAATAATTAAATTCCAATGCATTTTGCACATTTACTAAGATACTGCCTTACTGTATGAAAGACAAAATTAGTTTTGAAATTAAAGCAGATTGTTAACTATTTTCTCTGTGATGTTTCCATTAAAATGCCAGAATTTATTACATGTGACCTGGTCCTTTTCAAACAAATGCAGTTTAAAGGAGACAGGGTCTATTTAACTAAAGAAACATTTCCATCAGAGCATTCTGCCTTGGCTTAAACCACAACTAAAATGAGAAGATAATAAACAGCATACAAAAGGATTATTTGCTCCAAAGCAAATAAGAGCTTTATTATTATGAATGGCTTTTATAAAATCTCAGAATCTGTAACTGTATTACATTAAATTTCACTCAAATAAAACCCACATATTTTTTTTCTGGCAAAACCTCAATATATATATTTTAAACCATCAGGTAAACACAGGAGTGACCTCTCATCTATGCTTGAGCCTGGTTTCCTAGGTAGCACATAGAGTGTGGTGATACTCTGGTCATGCTGACAGAAAACCCTACTTTACCCTGAGTCACTTTAATTGTTGAATCAAGAGTGGTTCACACAGCACTTCCATGGAGCACACCAAGCTCGGCCTGGCCTGACCTAACAGGGAGAAATCCCATACGGGTGCTGGAGAAGAGGAGAAGTTATATGTTGCTGTCATTGTTTTTTGTCTTCCTATTTGTTTCAAGATAAAAAACATTATGCCTTCTGCAATTAGGGAATGAAGGCGAGCAAAATCAAAGCCATGCAAAGCATCAGCCTTCACCAATTCAGAACACTGACCTGATTGGATTTCCTGGATTGGCTCCGTCCCTCCTCTCTACTGCTACACATTCACCAGCTCCAGGGAAACTTCTCTGATGAACCTTAGCCCATGATCACCTTTGTTTCCAATAAACAGTTATTGATTCCCTTCTCTGTACCAAGTAAGAAAACTATAGATAGAGCCCTTCTTCACAGAGCATTTAATGGTCAAGTAGATGGGGGTGGGGTGTCTGACTACAAGCACCTGTCCTTTTCTGATTAGACCACCTGCATGTCATGCCCCCTCATTTTGACCCTCTTAATCCTGTCCTTGTTAT